ATATATATATATATATATATATATATCTATAAAGCAGTTTTGCAAGTAATTACACAGAATATAGCTTTAAAATGTTTTCAAATGATATTGAGATGGAAGAATCTCTCTGTTTTTGGAATGTGTAATACTTTGCAATGATAGCTATATTTTTAAGGTATTGACGGCCATTAATGGCTTCATTTGAACTATGAAGAAACAGTTGTTTATTTGTCTATATATATGTAATCTAAATTTCCTGTACAGTTAAAAGATATCCAGACATTTGCAAAAAAATTTCACAAACAAAAGTTTAAAAATATGTCATTTAGTAAAAATTTAAAATATCTTAATTTCTTTCTTGCCATCAGAAATGGTATGCAAACTAATTATATTGGTATTAAACCTATTTTTATTACCGCAAGCCATGGTGAGTTAATGGTGTAGAAGTGCATGTTGCAAAAATAAACTAAGAGTGAAAAAGTCAGTGTCTTAAAAAAAATGTTAATTAGCTGACGTGTTTTCACTGTGCAACCTCTATAGGTTTTTCTGTTTATATATCGTATGTTATAGGACATTTCTTCCACATATCCAAGTTTTTCAACACATAATGAAGTTAAGATTCCCCTTGTATGGTTAATTTTCTTGACCTATTTAACTATTATGAATCCCTGAGTAATCTGGAACTGGTTATATAGTGTAGAAAAAGGTTTATGGCATATAAAGTTACCAATTAGTTTTAAGGAGATGTTAAAATAAAGTATCTAAACTTGTTCATAAATAAGCAATGTACATACTGAACATCAAAACTATTTACTGAAATGGTAAATCTTGAACAAACTGTAATTTTTTCCTTTTTATTTTGTTTAAAAAGAGTTTCTAGATGTTGTCCATAAGTATAACTTAAATAATATTTTTGAACACTACAGCATTGTAAGAAAGCTCCACTGCCCATTAACTTTTGCACTTACTCAGGTGACATTTTGTTTGATGACTGTTCTTTTCTATACTTATCATTCTATGAAAAGTCATGGAAAGGTGACTCTTTTTTTCAAAGAGTTAATTTAGAATATTAAGACAATATTTTTCACTAAGTATTTTTATAGGTGGTTAATGTATATGGAATTGATATATGATAAAAATGCACATAAAAGGTTGTTTGTAGATGTTTCCACTAAAAATAGCTTGTTTAGTGAACCATATTATAAAAACCAGTACTATTAGTTAATAGTTAACTGAATATTTTTAGACATCATATCAGTTGAAAATGTGACTTGTAGCATTTTGCTTGAGATCCAAATGCATGTTTGCATTTCTTAATTTAACTTAAATGTTTGTTAATTACGTGTAGATCCTCAATTTTTTTTTTTAGTCAAATACATATTATTTTAAAGCATCTTAACTAGAAGTCATCAGATAAATAGCCCACAGAAGTATGTGTGTAGGGTTAAAATTATACTATAGTTTTTATTACTAAATTATTTAAGATTATTTTTTTACAGTATATGTTAGTAGTATTACAAGCATTTACTACATAATATACACACAAACAAGTGTTTATAAGTTTTGGGTGTTAATTGATAACATTTTGCTTTTAATAACTATCAGTATTTTACCCATCGATACATAAATCCTTATCAGTCTTGTGTGCTTGATATTTTTGCTACTAACTGTACCAAGAATTGGTATGATTCACATTTTTCAAGTCCACTTATATATCAATGCTTGTAAGGATAACACTATGTCAACTCTGTTTCGAGGTCTTGTGAAATGCAAGGGTTTGTAAATGACATTTTAGTGTTTTGAATTTCTGTGATTTTCTCAATAGTGAAGTCAACAGTATTTCTTAAGATATAATTTTATGTATTACTTATGGTATTGTAACATTTTTCTTATTGTTAACAGCTTCATTATCTTATTATTAGGAGTTGCGTTAAAATGGCATGAATGTCAGTCTAATGTAAGAGGTAATTTCTCAGTTGAAAGTGAGTGAAAATAATTTTGGGTGAATTTTTAACATTAATAGATGAATTAGGAGTTTTAAAATGTTCCTTCTTAGTTGTACGTTACAAAATGCAGCTTCTGATGCATACATTTTAAATTAATTTCAAATGTAATATTTTGTACTTTAATAAAAAATAAATAATAATCATAAATATTTCAGAATTTTTACAAATTAATATGTTCAGTTATTAATTGTGAAGATCCCATATTATTAATCAGTTGAAGTTAGATTGAAAGAAATTTAAAATTACTGTATGAAAATCTAATCATTTTTAACACTTTTTAGTTCCTGATGATTTATAAAGTTCAAGATAAAATCATTACTTTTACTTTCAACTTTACTTCTTGGAACTCATTCAGAGTTCAAGAATAATATTTTATTTTTATGAAAAAAAAACACATTGTTTTCTAAACTTTAATAACATTTTATTTTAGTAAAGAATGAAAAAAAATGTGGATTAATCAGCTGTTCTTGTTCACGCAGTTAACATAAAAATATTAAGTAGTCTTTTTAAAATAGCTAGTTTATAGTTCTATGTAATCCAAGTATTAGAAATTCCTTATTTTAAGCATTTTAAATTTGTAGCCTTCTTTATTAATATTGCTTTATTCTCCATTCACAGGATTTACTTTTGTATGTTTTTGTAACTGTTGTTTTGTTCCAAGGCCTAAGGTATCTAATATTATTGAAGTAATTTCTATATTTTATTTCTGTATCTTAAGGAGCAGTAGGATAAGGAGAGAGGTGTTTATAACATACAAAATATAATTTTAAAATACTGGCTGTTGTACTAAATAGTTCCTACAAGGCCAACAATCAACTTTTAGGTGTCTATTCAGATAATTGGATTTAGAAACTTTTTATGAAAACAAAAATGTATAAGTCATATTAAAATAACATTTTATGTTACTCATGAAATTAGAGGAGATACATATATAGCTTTAAACTATAAACTAAATAACCTTCCAAAACTTAAAGATCTTACTTTGTAAACAGTGTTTAAGACCACCAAATTTAATTAAAATCAAAAAACGATTACCATTAGTCTAATAAAATTAGCAACCTCCAAACCAAGCATTTCTTTTTTTCTTTACAGTATCACAAAAATTAGTTTACAGCATTTTTGTTCTGAAAATTTCTTCTCTGTATTTCTATTTAAATTGTTCACCTCAGTAAATGTAAATCAGGTGTTTATATAGAAATGCTCACAAACTGATGTATAAGTTGCAACAGTTGTGTGAAGATAAGAAATCAGCAGTTAGTATATTAAAATATCTCACGGCTGTTCTTTATAGTCCTATATATTTATCCGTCTAAACAATATCCATTATGATTTATAAAAGTCAAGTATAAGTGTGTGGATTTAGTGAATTATTTTCTAATAAGTAGACTTTTGACAGATTTGAGTGTACATGTAAATTTTTGATTCTAAGTATATTACTGCATAAACAATTTTGTTACTCTGCTTTTTCATATGTTGTTTTTATTTAAAACTTCCCCGAATTTTCTTGTATTGCTGGTGAAATTATAAACAATGGATAGAAACTTATTTGCAAAGAAAAGTTACTGAACAAATTCTGCAATATTGTAGTTGTACCTGCAATTTATTGATCCTAATTTAATTATCAAGTACAGTTGAAATTTTTGGCATTCATAACGTTAGCATCGTTTGCCCTTGATTTCAGTTTTCACTGGTTCAAGGCTCTGACTTTTGCCCACAAATGTCGTATGGTATGATGGGTCCCAAAGCTTATGGATCATGAGCCTACTAGCAATGATAGTGAAGGGGGATTAGAAGTCAGCAGAAGTGTTGTTTTCTAATTTAACTTGTACAAGAAGATTTGAAGTGAAAGTTATGAGGGTTATTTATTTTACAGTGAACTAAAAAAATAGCACTTTTTGCCTATTCCTAACAGGTAGAGATTGTAAATTTCACAAAAAATTCTAAATGTTCCACAAAACGAATTTGTTTTGTTT